ATCTTTTCTGGTTCCCAGAGCTCTGTTGGTATCCCTGGAGTTACCTTGGAAATGGTTTACGTTTGCTTTGCCAAGATACTGATGAGAGTCCCGGTGCTGTACATTTGTATCATAAGGGGAACCAGAGAGATTTGGATTGATGGCTGTCCTGGGAGCTGCCACTGAGAATATGTTTGTAGGGCGATACAGCACTTCTGAAAAAGAAAGGGAAGAGGAGACAGATTCGCAGAGCCCAGGGGAACATCCACAGTGGGCAATTAGAAGAAAAACATCAACCATTTCTAAATGGAGCAAATCTGATCCGAAATCGCTGAGCGACGGTAGACGCTCCATTGCCTTTTCAGAGCAGACTCTCAGGCTCCAAACCAGCAGCAGAGTCTTGGAGTTTGGCACCTTTTGTAGCATTTTGCACGTTCTTGCACACTTTCTAGCAAAGCGAGGGCCACGGCTCTACCAGGATAAGGGCAAGCACAGGGAAGACCGCATAGGGATGATGGATCAGCAACACACAAGGGCAAGAAAGTTCCCACAGGGGCAAAAGGAGCATGAGAACTATGCTATGTTCCTTGGTTTAAAGCATGATAAATACAGCATGATGTTTTAGCTCCAATGAGAGTTTTGCCACCGACAAAGATTTTACCCAGAGGCCTTTTAACCGTTTAAGATTAACCATTTAAGATTAGGCTTTGAGCATTTAGTCACCCAAGGACACAAGAAACGGATGGTCCAGTCTCAGCCCTGCCAGGGACCTTCTCGGCAACAAAGACCGATTTTTGCAGGGGTGGAGAAGCCCCTCCTGCACTCGCGGCAGAGGATAGAGAGCCACTGCAAAGTAAATGGTGGCCTGAGGCTTGGACTCCTATCGGTTGTGGTGGGACCCGTGTGACATCTGTGGTGGTCACACATCAGGGTACGACGCCAGACGTAAAATATGGCCCCTATCGCAGTGCAAAGTAGTCAGGGTCCTCAGGCCCCTGGCATGCATTGATCAAAGCAACCTTATGTTTAGAGTCTCCTAGCTCCACCAAGCACTAAATATGTTGAGATGACATCCGATTTTCACCAGACATTGCGACCTTCTTACCAGGTAGGGAGGCCTGTTGACCAAGACGTTATGAGCTCTGTTTTGGTGCTTGGTCTCCATCTTATCCCTTGTTTTCCACCCATTGGTCTTCTGAGGTGCATAGAGGCTAATCCTTCTAACTTTCCCAATATTTCTGCTTAGGCCACATATGGTCTGCTTTAGTGAGGCCTATTTTGGCTGGTGCTAACAAGCCTCTGTACGATTTCTGTATGTACTGACCAATAGACGTCAGTGGAGCATACGCCAATCCATGCACCGGCACGGCCTACATGAGACATTCTTGCTCTCCCACCCCACATCTATACCCCTGGACATGACTTGGGCAAGTCACTTGACTGCTTCTGCATAGTTTCCCACCCACAGGTGGTCTGTTTGGAGGGTAAGCACCAAAGCTAAAGGCACCTTGAATCCAGCTGGGTATACCACTAATATTCCTATTGGAGAACATTGAATAACTTGTATCCACCATCCTACTGACTTTAATCCTTCTGTAATGGAGTCACAGCTTCATAATCTGGCCAATGGGCAGTGGAATCCTTTTTTTGGGTGACATTGCGGTTGCCGAAAGGATGTGTGGTCTCTACTATATGAAGGATCTCTCTGGTGTCCAATGAAAGAGCTCTGCCTTTGAGTGGAAACTTTGTGTATCTGAAGCAAATCCTAATCATACTCGAGATAACATGCATTTGCTTCTTTTTTTTTTTTTTTTAATAAGCCCCGGAAAACTGGCCTTAGGTGTGCTCCGAATAAGACAATGCGCAACGCCTAATGAGTCTTTGCACGCGTGCGTGCATGTTGAGATGGGACTGCCTGTATAAGTGTGTGTGCAGAGACTGGGTGCCTCTGACAGCAGAGCAGCAAGGGAAGCAATTACAACTGCAAATAAAACTATTATTAAAGACCCCAATGTTTTTAACTGCTATTTGTGTATAATCGCTTGCAGACAAATGAAGAGAACAGTAAATGCTAGGAGAATAATTTGCTGTTAATCAAAAGTAATAAAGTGAACAGCCTCATTTCCTTTTAAAACATCTCTGATTTTAATGCCGTTGTATTGCTCTGCTTCCAATTGATTACATGCTGGCTTAGAGGAAATCTGACAGCAGGCAGAGTCAAAATTAACAATACTATTCTCTCAGTGCCCTTCTGGGGAGAATTTCAAGGTTTCCCATAGTCCCATTTATAACCCCTGTAGCAGCACAAAGTAAGACACCAGTAAAGGCTATTGTGCCCATTGCACAGTTGGGGAAATGAAGGCACCTACACTTAAGAAGACATGCCTGAGCTCATGTGAGTCCAGAGAAGAGCTTTAAAGTGAACTCAGGAGTCCTAGCTTTTTGTCCCTCACTGTTACCACCAAGGAGCGGTGCTTCTATGGCTATACGGACATAAAAGCCATGAGCTGAACACCAGACTGCTTCATTAGGAACCAGATCTAAACCTCACTGAAGTTAGTGGACAAGCTCTTGATGGTATCAGTGACCTTTGGATTGGTACCTCGATGCCAACTGGATGACTCATTTTGGGCACCCGCATTTGAAAATGCTCATCTCTGACTTTGCAGGCTGGGTCATACAGCTTGGGGTCGATCCCATCCCAAACGAATCGTAATTCACTTTGCAAAGGTGAGCAGTAGCCTTCTACTCTATAAGAAGTCTTATTATGGAGCCAAACAGACCTTTCCCTCTAGGATCATAAAATTGATGTAGGATTTGGTACAACTGAATACAAGTGACCATTTGGTTCAGTGCAATTTAATTCTTCTAGGGCATCTTCCAGATATAGTCATGTCAAAGGCACAGACTGCAATATAACCGTGAGCAGAACATTTATGGTCGGGTGCTTATTATTCAGTTCTATAGTAGGCATCTAATCATTTTTGAATGGAAAAGAAAATTCAATTCAATCCAATCATAATACATTGTCACTAGTCAAATTGAATATAGCTTCAACATTCAAAAGCAAACTGTCAATAAATCCATGCAGGCTGTAGATGGGAACAAAGAGCAAAATCATGTCTAGCTGTTGCACATGATTTTAAACAAGCTAAGTTTGATTTTGATAATGATCTTCCTCCTAATGCACCTTGTTCCTTAATTTCCTCCATCATTAGCTCATCCTGAGAAATAATATATAATAATGAGGCAGGAAACGTGGGGTTTAGATTTCTCATTAGCGCATTGTGATCTCCGACATGGGAGTCACACCCCTCACTTTCCAGCCTTGCTCTCCCTACAGTTGGTTTATTTGTATTGTTTCCAGCCCAGAGGAGATGCAGTGTCTAACTCAGTGGCACTTGGCATGTGGATAGCCAGCTTGAGACCTGCAACACATCATTAGTGCTTTGTGTTCTTAGATATATTTTTAAGCAACCATCATTTAGCATTCGGCGGTGACACTTTCTCATTTCCACCCGCCATTATGTCTGCTATAGAAAAAATACACGGATGTGGGTCAACTATTATAACATGGATGAATTCGGCTTTTTCTTTTCATGGTTTGAATCACCCTAAGGACCCAGGAGCAGGAAAACTATCTTATCGCAGAAGTGCAATGGTCCTTCTCACTCGCTATCAAATCTTCACTGACATCCTAATCCAGCTGTTTCCAGACAGGAGTCATTTGAAGCACCTTCTGCCTGCAAAGCACCGAACGGTCATTAAGCTTTGCCACACTCTTCTAGGGGCAAGGGGAAGATGATTAGCTCCATTTTACACACGGGAAGAATCAAGGCCCTCAGGGACTAAGGATGAGGGGTAAGACCAAAGCAAAGAGCCAGCTTCCTGCATGCAAACGGATCTATAGTTCAGGGTCTGCCCTTGCACATGGAAGGAGTCAAAATTGGGGTTCAAACGCCAAACTTGGTATTCAATACTGTCCTGGCATCTTTCCATGCACACATTTCTGAGGCCTACGGGGTGTTTTCCTGCCATTCCTGTCCGATGCACCCTCC